GCACACCCCACCAAGGAGCCCGCACACACACAAGGTCCCCAGAAGCAGCAGCATCAGTGAATGCACAGCCATAGCAGGCCAATGGTGTTTACTGCAAAGGCAAAACCACAAATAAGCTTCTGATCCAATGGATGTATCTCTTCCCCCAAGCCGGTTTACTTTTTGCCAGTTTTGCCACAATTCACGTGAATAAGCCCTTACACATGTATTACCAGTTCGCAGGGGGTCTGCTGCCAACTGGGAGGAGCGCTCGGATGCTGCTTTCCTGGTTGACCTAACAGAGCTGACAACCCTGCACTACCAGTCCCAATAATACTCCCTCCAGGCCCGCATCTTTTTCAAATTATTGGCATGTCAGCTCATGACGATTTGACTGAAGTAGCTCTCAACAGGCTGCCAACATTTTGAGGAAAGCCTCCTGGAGACGGAGGAGTGACGATCTTGCAACAATTGGCTCCGTGCATGGGCTGCCGTTCACCGTGATTGACTGGTTAAGTCATGCCAGCATGCTCCTTGCTGACGGCACAAATACTGAAGGACATTCCTGAAGGCCTCGATGGTCAAATCAGTCAGGGAATCAGCACAATGAGGACTCTGGGACCACATTGACAATCGGATTTGTCAGAGAAGATAGACAAGAGATAGACAGGTTCGATCCTGGATACAACAAGATCTTGCACAAGCTCTCAAAACGAAGACAAGGGCAAAAGATCAAGTTCATATCAGGACGAGATTTGAGGTCTCCTTGTTGAAGGCACTAAAGGCAAGACAGCTCATCTCGCTTTTGATATCTCTGCACTATACATGTATAGCCCTGCAGGAACACTACTTGACATGTGCCCTTTCCCTGATTCTGGTAACCATCCAAAAGTTGCCTTCACTCAGTTATGTGATGCCTTCCCAATTCCCCGACGACATGTATTAAGCGGCGGTGCAAAGTTTTTGACTCATTTCAGTACAAAAAAATACCAATATGTAATTTTTGACAATACAAAATGCGCTAGGAGGCTTGCAAAACAACAAGAAACACAGACTCTTGCAAATCACGTGGTTGATTTCGAGCGGGAAAGAATTTTCAACCAATGTTGAGCATTCCAGTCTACAGCAACACCCTAGCAACACCCCAGATCTGCATCACGAGAAAAGTGCAAATTGAAGGAGAAGCGCACCTTGGGCCTTTGGCCTCCAATGTCAGCCAAGGTGTAGAGCCTCAGGCTATCGCACAGACCCCTTGCAGGTTCTCCCCCTCGAAGCACTGAGTAGGCTGCCCCACGATCCTTAAATGAAGAATCGCATCCTTCAAGGTGTTGGCAAGAGCTCATCCGCCTAAAGAACTCCCCTTCGTTCTCTCTAACATCAGCAAGGCAAGGGGTGTTTGGCATAAAGTCTGAGCCAATCGGAAAGCGCCAAGGCATACCCCCCAGGATTCACGAGGGCGACATTGTCCAGTTTGCTAGACCGAATGTCGAAAGCGCCGGTACGGACCCCAAGTGTACCGCCTCCCACCACCCGGGCACTCGGTTGGAACTTAGGGACAGGATTCGGATATTCACCCCTTGTTCCTAAGTGTCTAACATACATACATATTCTTCAAACTTGTTCTAAGAGAAAAAGCCAGTACTATGGTACCAGTTGGTTTTTTCCCCTTTTTTCTCTCCAGTATGTATTCCAATATAATCTTTAGTATGGTTTTACATACATACATATTGGCCATCAAGCCCCCAAGAAGTGGTGCTGCACTAGGTGCAGATCTGTTCTGTTTTTTTTTTTTTTTCCAGAAATCCCTTACAATTTTTCGGCTTCACGACAAAATATTACTAGGTATGGCAGGGGATAGGCCGGGAGCCACAGTCAAAACTCCTGTCTGTCCTGTCTGTCCTGTCTGGTGGCGCCGTAAATTACAATATTATTCCATATTACCTGATGTGGACGGGCATAGGCCAGAAGCCACAGACAAAACTCCTGTCTGTCCTGTCTGTCCTGTCTGTCCTGTCTGTCCTGTCTGGGGGCGCCGTAGATTACAATCTTCTGTCATATTTCCTGGTGTGGACGGGCATAGGCCGGGAGCCACGAACAAAACTCCTTCCTGTCCTGTCTGGCCCGTCTGGGGGCGCCGTAGGTTACAATATTCTGTCGTATTTCCTGGTGTGGACGGGCATAGGCCGGGAGCCACTGACAAAACTCCTGTCTGTCCTGTCTGGGGGCGCCGTAAAGTACAATATTCCCATATTTCCTGGTGTGGACGGGCATAGGCCCGGAGCCACTGTCAGAACTCCTGTCTCTCCTGTCTGTCCTGTCTGGTGGCGCCGTAAATTACAATGTTCCCATATTTTACCAGGTGTGGCCAAGCATAGGACGGGAGCCACGTTCCAAACTCCTGTCTGTGCTGTCTTGCTGTCTGGTGGCACCGTAAATGATGATTTTTCCGGTTATTTTCAGTGTAATGGCCGGCATATTTGAGGCTTCTAGAACTTTAATACACCTGTTGGCCTGTGTGAGTGAGGTTCCAAAAATCTCTCGCACCTTTTTCCGGAAAAAGCTCTTAAGGGGAGACCATTTGAGGACTCAGTCTAGGCCTGTGTGAGTCCAATTGCGAAAATTTCTCGCACTCTTTTCCGAAAAGATCTCTAAAGGGGAGACCACGCACCCGGATCAGCCCGAAATTGTCCCGCCCAGCTTTTTGAAAATCCTGTGAAGCTGCCTACGTCACGGTGCTCTGGCGCTCAATGGCGGTAGAAAACAGAGGCAAGGTGCTGAGCTGGCAATTGGCGAGCAATGGCGGTCCATGGCTGCCTACAGACGGCCTGCATGACGGCCAGCCCTTTGTTCAAACAGAGTATGAAGCTTGCAATCGCAAAAGCGGAAGCCAAAGTAAAGCAGGAGCCAGAAGCGGAAGCCAGAGGCAACAGAGAGCAGGGAACCTGTAGGGGACAAGGTGAGTCCTTCATTGCCGCTCTCGCGCATGCTACGTGTTCGGTTGTTCTGACGTTGATCTAGCGCTTGCTGTGAAGCGCGCTTCGGCGCTAGCTACAGGGCTGATTTCATAGAAGCTGGGGGCCTTTTTTCTGGGCCTGTTCTTCTCCAGGCTGCTTTTGGGGGGCTGGTTTTAGGGCTTTCGGGGGTAAGCTGTTCAGGCAGTAGGTGCCAAGCTGGTTCCTTGCCTCTGCCGGGGGGCCGATTTCGCTGCTTGCGCTGATCGCAGACTTGCGGGCTTTCAACCTGGAAGATGGGGTAGATTTAGGGGCTGGTTTTGGGGTGTGGGGAAAGTGATTGACGCTCATTTGCGTCTGTCGGAGGGGCCAATTTTGCTGCAGATTGCAGACTTGTTTGGGTCTGTTTGAAGCCTGCTTGAAGTCGGTGCTAAATTGGTGCTTTTTGCAAAACGGATGTAGTGTCTGCTGGGGGCTGATCGTGGGCTGTTTTGCAGACCTTCTTGTGGCTGATGCTTGGTGCAACTTAGGGGGCTGATTTATTGGGTATGCCGGGAGCTGATGGGAGGCTTGTTGTTGGCCCCAAATTGTGTATGCCTTGAGGGATGGTTGCGTCGAACACCACACCCGCTTTGCCTGATAAACAAAGCAACCTAGGTCTGCTGGCCCGAAGCTGTTTTTTGGCGCTGGCTTGCTCTGCCCCACTGCTGTGGTCTTGATGCATGAGGACTGACCCCGTGCTTTCAAGTGCAGCTCAGCAGCGGTGGTAGGGGAGGAAGCGCCTAGTCCTCTCTAAAGGAGATCAGGAGCGGAAAGGTGAGGACAGCCGCAGGTTGCCTTTCGTGCGTCCTCAAACCCAGATCGAGTGTTTGAGAGGCCAAAAACAAAGCCAGATTTGCCATTTGCTTCTGTGGTAGGCGGCACCCCGCCGCACCCCGCCGCTGCCGCGGAGGCCCCTCCGGGAGGCCGCTGCCGCGGCGGCTTCCCTTCTTTCTGCTTATATCTCGTTCATTTGCCCAATCAATGTAGAGCGCACATCAAGATGCATGCATAAAGGTTGAGCAGACGTTTGCTCGAGGCAGCTGATGTCTGCTAACGCCTGCGGTAGAATTTCAGCACCTTGCGAAAGAGCTCTGCCTCACAGCGTTGTACTCTTGCAGGCCATGGTCGAAGGGGATGGTCCACCATCGAGAGGGTTGCAGCTGGTCCTCCCCTCCCAGCTGAAATGCATCTTTCGACGCTCAGCAGTGCAGCAGGGCAAGGGGGCTTGTCTCCGATTCGCGTATCCTGCCGGGGGGCCGCCTGTCAGGTCCATTCCCAGCGCTGGTCAACGCTCACGTTGCTCAATGCATGCATGTCGGTTGTATGACAAGGGAAGCTTGCAAGCAGGTTAGTTCCTTCGTCGATTGCACTTCAGTCTTTCAGTGCCTGGCCTGAAGCTTGCTCTCAATCTGCAGAGGAACCCTCCTATAAGCCCACGAGTCCCACTTATGTCAAGGTGCGCACTCCAGAGGAGATTGAGGCCACGCGGGCAGCGAGCGACAAGAGACAAAGGACCGGTGATCCGTTGCATTTTCGGGAGGGCTTCTTCGAGCCTGGGCAGCCCAGCGCACACGAGCACCAGGTATGATTTTATGCTTGGGCTTGGACTCAGATTGCAGCCAACCGCTCCACACATAATGCTTGCTGCAATCGATAGCGTGGAGTGTCCAAGCTGTCAAAGCCGTCCAAGCATTTTCCGAAAATCATTGGGAGTGATTATTCCTGATGACCGGCCATTCCACCTATAATGCTGGCTGTAATCGATAGGACCCTGTTCAAAATCTTCCGAGCTTTGGCGGATTTTTTTTTTGAGTGACCAAGGACGATTTCAGCAGCCAACTATCCCCCCTAGAATGCTGGCTGTAATCGACAGCACAGACCCCCCGTCCAAGTGTCCGAGCTTTGGCGCAAACTGTTTTAAGTACATTCTTGCTGACCTCTGCAGCTGACCATTCCACATAGACTTTGTTTTCATCATTGATAGCGCAGACACCTTGTCCAGGTGTCCAAGCTTCGGCGCAAACTTTCCTGGCGACCAGTTCTGATGACGTCAGCTTTCGGCCATGCCACCTGGAATGCTTGCTGTAGTCGATGGCACGGGTCCTTGTCCAAGGTGTCCAAGCTTTTGTGCAAACTTTCGCTCAATGGACAGCGGCTCGTGCAATCGAACACAGTCATCAGCCTTGGAGTAAGAGCAAGTCGGTCAAGTTGTCAGCCTTGGCGCTGTCAAGGCTTTAACACATATCCAAGATGCATGCAACCACATATAGTCGTTCCTCATGTATATGAAGCTATGGTAGCGGGCTTTCAAACAACACTGTTGCGTCCGTGCCACATAGCGCTGTCTGGTATCTTTTAATAAGTGTTCAAACAGTAAACAGCATGAGCTCGATGTTCCTGTATGATGCATGTGTCGCATCAATGATTGACATTGTTGCAAGCAATTGATCAATCCTTCCGGCCATACATGCAGCTCATCCACTGATTTGCCGTAGCTCATCCTTGTGCACTGGAAACCAAGTAGGTTGTGGCGCCGTGGCAGGTGCACCAGGATGCAAAGATAGCATGTGCAAGCAAGTGGACGAGGTGCGTTTAGGTACTGCTGCGCAATCTTTGAAGGGGTCAACCATGCCACATAATCCTCATTGCAGACTCTACCATGTCCAATCTCATCACTGAATCTGCTATGTCCAATCTCAAGTGAGAGCACCAGCTGAAAAGCGCTTGATACTTCGATGTATTCCGTTTACACCTTGTCCAAACAGGTGGGACTCTCGCCGATATTTACATTGGCCGCTCTTTATCAAATTAAAGCTCTGTACAACCGGCTTGCGAACGGACCCGTGCAAGATCAATCTTTGTCTAGCAAGCAATGAGTGTCGGACCAAGAGCCTAGTTTTTCGAAGTCAATGTGTGTGCTTCTCAAATCTTGCCGTAACATCATCACCCAAATCCGGCCGCGACCACCTTGGCCCACAGGTGCGCTTGCTCGATTATTGGTCGATTGAGCTTTACCCACCCCCGGATAGATTGCTCTTGCCGCCTGTCAGCAAATTGATGACCAGCAAACTTGGGGATGATCTTGTCCGCGAGGGTGCACACTAGGAACGGGGCGTCCTTACTAACACCCCTGTTGTAGGACCGCTCTCTCGTATCTGCACCCCAAGCTGCGTGCACGAATTCGAACGCGCACGGGCACCCCTCAGGCTGGCCGTCTTCTTTGGTCAGAGCCATCCCGGGGCCGCCGCTGCTTCCGTACGCGGTGGATGCCGTATGCTTGACAGTCTGTGAGTTGGTCGAGATGAGCTCCCCAAAGCTCATGGACTTCCGCAGCGGCTTGAGGCAGTTCTGCAATCCAAATCAAAAGCACAAGTGGTGTCAAGACAGTTTTCGCTAACCAACTGATGCTCAAGACTCCAGTTCTGAAGCTGAGCCGTCGCTGACGCAAGGAGCGCTCAAAACAAACCCTGCATTAAACACACAGGAGCAATAAGCAGGACCCTGTGAACTCCTCCGAGCAGCCCTCTGTCTGGATGCACAATCTGCACGCTTATTCTGATGACAACGAAAGCTTGTGGTATTTTCTAACCCTGCTATGCATAGCCCTCTGCAGCAATCTAGCCCTCTACAGCAATCTGCAGTAGGCTGGTGTTCAACCAGGCCTACTAACTGCTTGCGAATTGCTTTTCAAAGATTGAAACAAACGTCCCCAACCTAGTTGCCAGGATTCTGACCAAATCCTTCAACGGCACCATTCTCTGAGTTGAAAATCAAACTGCAGAGCAGCCTCTTGCACAGCCTCTTGCACGATCGTCTCCTGAGCAAGAACAGCTGGCACCCACCGCACGAGAGCAAGGTTTTGGAAAATCCATCCTTTGAGGGCTCGTAAACCTGTTTATCCCAACAGGCAAACAACGCATGCAATCCGTGAAGCACTTCAACAAGAGACCCTGCGTGCTCCGTCAGCTGCTTCAAACTGCCAACTTCATCGCAGTGGGCAGCTCTTGCACCTTTCCAGGGCCTTACACACAAGACTCATCCTGAAATACTGCTTAATCGCTCACCTCATTAAGCCAAAGCACGTGCGCCGCGCGCTCCAGGGGGGTCAGTCTCTGGCCCAGGAGACTTTGCACATTGTCGAGTGTCGCCCCACCTGCAAAACGAGGGCAGATCGTCAGAGCACAAGAGCAAGAACAGCAGAGACGCGGCTGGTCAGATGCTCAATCACACCTTGGAGACATTGGAAAGGAAACAGTATGCAATCTGACCAGATTGGGCTCGGTTTTCCTCATATTGCTCTTTGCCACTCAGAACAAAAGCTCAGCCCGAGCTTGGGCGAGGGCTGGTTTCCCCATCTTACTGTCTGTTTCTCATTGACGGATGTTGTTACATGCATGATGTGGGTCGCTTGGAGTCTCAAGGGGCTGTTGCAGGGGGCTCGGTCTGCAGTGGATACTCTTGAAGACCTTCAAGAACTGCTGAAGGGAGGGGCGGGATGACTCGACTCACCCGGGAAGTGGCCCACCGCAACGTCCAGTTTGTGTGCGAGGCCCGCTGACGGCCTTGAGCTGGGGACCAAGTAGCGCAGGTTCTGGAACTTCCCAATCTCAGAGGCCGGCCCAAGCAGCACCCTTATCAGCTGGACATCTGTGAAAGCCTCGTCGGGGGGGCATGAGCTGGGGGGGTGAAACCGGCTTCGGGTTTGCTTCTCGGGGGAAGGAGGGGGGCTTGTCGTGGAGGGGTCGATGGTGGGGTACGCTCCTGTGTCCTCCTCCCCATGAAGCTCGATAACAAACGGCCACCCGCCGCTCTTGGCATCCTCGCCGGCGAGCAAACCGGCCGAGACGTACCCGGAGTTGCTTGCCTGCTCCACCCGATAAGTGACGTGGGCGTTGGAGAGCGCATACACGCAGGCGAAGCCGTCTGCAAACAACAGGCGCTCACTGATCAACCACATGGACACGAATCGACAGGGCAGACGCGACCTGCCAATTTGCCAGATCCAAATACCCGCAGCAAACAGTCACCCACAACACGTATTGCAATTACAGAGATTGTGACCGTTGCAACGAAGCAAAAACGAGCGACTTCAATGTCAAGCGCCTCGCAAAGGAATTGGAAATTGATACATCGACTAGATCACAAGATCTGCGGTTACCACAAGCGACTGTTCTAATAAGGGACTGACGTCCACGTCCAGGAAGCACCAAGATCGTCACTCTGAATGGCATCTCTGGAAGCGCAAACATCAATCCCAGCATTTGCACATCCGTGTGCGATCTCTGCACCAAGTTTAATTCCGGACGACCGTACAAGAGGATGCAGAATCTCACCTTCCACAAACGCTGGAGACACGGGGAAACATGAACCCCCATCATCATCGTACCATCCTCCTTTAGTCAGGTTCAAGGACCACACCGGCAGCTCTGCCATGTAATTCAGGTCCAGTTGACTGTGCAGGACCCAATCTTTCTGCGACATGAACGCCGCCTTGATAGGAATGAGGGTATGGGTATTGTCCCAGACAAGAAGAGGGCGGTATTCAGTAAGCTTCCGCCCGGCCAGTTGGTGTTTGAGAGCAGGGCTCTTGAGCATCAGCCTCTCCACCCCTCTCCTCTGCAGCCCGATGTCGTCCTCCCCCGTCAGAAGTGGCCTTGGGAAGTCCAGGTCAACATCCGACTCAACCCCACTCTCCAGCTGCAAGCTTCCGAACAGATTCCTAACCACCGTGGAAGACCCTTCCGCTTGATCAGCCATCGCGATTCGGCAGCATGCCTTTGGCCCTGGGGCGGGGTGGGGCGGTTCCCGGCGGACAGGTGACCTTTTAACCGGGACCTCGAACTCTGCTCTGACAGTGACAGCGCCCCTTCAAGTTTCTCTCCCGGAACAGCAAGCCTTGTGTGTCGTGTACCG